TTATAGGTAGGTAAAATCACGTTGTTTTGAGTTGAAACGCTCAGTATTACCAGTAGAATGGTAGTTTCCCTAAGCGGTATAAGAAGGTGATATTCAAGCTCCTGGAAAACTTTGCAGATGCCCGCTGTAATATGCAAGCTTGCGACAAATTTTAGGCAAGGTTTCCACTTAATTGAAAGATACACTAATGCACACGACGATGCCGTGTCGTTGTCCACTACAGCTTTTGAGGTGATTGGCTTAATAGAGTTAGGTGAGCGCATATTGCTTCACGCTAATTGGTCGAAGTAGAAACCGGAAGGATTATTGAACAAGCGGTCGGCAGAAGATTGGTTAATCATTGCCTTCTGTTATCAAATCCCATTTGAATTGCAAACCTGATTCAAAATGCTTATGATACTGAGAAACAAAGAGACAACTTTTCTGCTCCGCCTCACGCGGAAGTCTGTGTAAGCACACTGAGTAGCCAATTCGCAGTAGTGGTACATTTTGATAAGTCGCTTCAATAAAGACATAATTTAAAAGAACAGAAGACGATAATTATCCTTGCAGTTACAACTAAAGCCCATTTCTAAGGTGGTTTATCTATATCTCAAGCCTACATATCCCAACGAGCAAATTTGAACAGTGAAAGGTAAATAGACTCAAAAAAATTAAAATGAAGCAATTCTTTCATTTAGGGTAAAAGATAAATCTTCCAAGGAGTAAAGACTTTATAAGTGGCAAAATGCTAGACTGTATGTTCTTTGTTTTACGAAAAAAAAACAGTTCACAAACCACAAGGCTTTAAAAGAGACTGAAAAGGAGCTCGTTTTTTGGTTCTTAACAATGTTTAAGCACAATCTATATAGACGCATTAATATATTTGATGGAAAAGAAACTATACTACCTTGCCTTAGCTGTGGAAGCAAACAACCCGAATATGAATACAATAATTTTTATCTTACTTGGATTTTTGAGTTGTTCAGACTGCATGAGATCAAGTTACCCTCCGGCAGATGGAGAAGATAAGAAGCATCACCTAAAGAGAAGTGTAATTATACGGATGAAGGAGTTGGCGCAGTATCTCTTCTAAAGGTAAAAGACTCCTTGCGGATGATTTATGCAGAAGTTGATTCTTGACCACTTCGAACTGTGTCGGCTAAATATACGCCAGTCGTAAACACCTGGCCTTTGGAAAGAATATGTAGTTAACAACTCCATCAGCAGCCCAAAACTATAAAAGTGTAGTCTTATGAGGTAATGACAGGAATATTTGTGAATTTGCCTACCAAACGTTACAGTATAAAACTGCTGCTTATCGCAAGTCATTTAATCGGTCCACAAGCAGTCTGAAGTGCATCATGCGTTTTTGTGACAAATGCGATTGAGGAAAGGGGTAAATGATTGACTGTAAAGCTGATTTCTATCTTTAAACTCATGTGGGTGACACTTATTTGGTTAGTGATCATCGTTCTCCTAACCGATCCAGGCGTTTACGGGTTATTTTGTTATAACTCTCCTTAAGTATTGCTGAAAGGCCTTGATGAACTAATCTCGAACTGCTTCATCGCCAAGACTAAAGAGCATCCCTGCACGAGGTGTTTTCATCGTCGGAATGAAATTTTTCTAGCTACTTCTGTCATCGCACCCTTACTCAATCTCCATACAAGAAGCTTGAAGAGAAACTTCGGCTGCTCTAAAACCTATTCAAACTCGCTTTTTATAGCAGACGGGTATAAATGGCATCCACCGATCTTTTGTGATGTGAGAGTTGGTTCAAAATATGATGGAAACAGAAGAGAGGAAGTGTGTTTAGATTTATGGGTAGGTCATATATTTTCTACTCATTGAGCACTGTTGATAAATTTGGCAAATACACTGTGTCAATCACAGAATTTTGATAAGTCGTCATTCTTTTAGCGAGTCAAAAAGCTAAGGTGACGGGGGTATCGCGGACGACAAATGCAAGGGGTAGCTAAGTTCACCGTCCTTGCAATCCTCACATAAATGATAACAGAAAGTATTAAGCCCATTACCATCTATGCCACATTTTGTAACTTTTGCTTCAAATGCAGTCACCCGCAGTGCATAAAGGAGGAACACAGGTGATGCAAATGGTTGACAACTGGTGCTCCTTGCACTTGAGAGCCCATTGATGCATTCACGTAAGATGCAGTGATCACCGCCTAACTTGAAGCCTGTTTCTGCCTCAAAATCCGACATTGGCGAGTTATTCAAGATATGTGTAAGGGTGTAAGGAGAATGCCCATTTTGACAGGTAAAGTAGTGCATGTATGTGCTTTATACTCCTGTAATGCGTAAATTAAATCAGGTTTACCAAGCCATCGTTTATAACCATTGACTCAAATGGTCATGATGACCTCCATCGGTGGGATAATCTTTATCGCGTAGCTGAATTAAGTCGTCTGCAAATTCACTGAATACATTTTAAAATGATTACTATTGATTTATTTATCATTATGAACTTACCGATGGAAACTGTAAGTGAAAGTGGGCGCTTTTGCTTCAGATATATTACCTCTCTTGCTCCAACTTTCCCCTACCGCAGTGGATTGATCAGCCATATGGTGTGCTTTGTACCTTCAAACAGTCTGTTCACGCATTTTCACTAAATACCGAGCTGCCAAAACTCGTCCAGCACTCGTGTTCCACCGACATCTGATTGGTGTCATTTGTCAAATCACCGACGTCCATCGCGTTCCTGCGCGTTGACAGCAACATTCAGGTGAAGCAAGAACTCAAACACCAAAATTTGTAGTTTTTTCCTTATTAATGGTTTATGTTAAATTTTTTTTCAAAATTTTTACATGAAAAATTAACATACTTTTATGTGATGATAAAACTTTGATGTTTGAATGAACACGGTTTTAGGAAAGGTCGTTCTATTGATCTAATAGTAGAATTGCGCAATGCAAACATCCAGTCGAGATTTCACATCCTCGAAACATCCTGGTGGAGTAGTCAGAATATTAGTGGTGGAATGTAGTTGTTGATTTACTTGATAAACACAAGTATTTTGTATGGCCAACAATTCGCCCAATTCACATCCTTTTCAATTTGTTCTCTAGAGCTCTTTTTCCTTACTATCGTATGTTTTAATCATTTTACGGAAGAAGTATCTTCAACTTTTTATTTACAAACCCAAGTTCCACTAGACTATCCAGAATATGCTGGTCAATTCCACATTTAACTCAGTGTTTGGTAAACAGACCATCATTCAAGTGATTTGCATTTATTTTCATGCAACAAAATTGCCAAAAAACGGTCAGAACTCGAGTTTTTATTGGCTTTAGTCATAATTGCAGGAAATGCATGAATTTCATAACTATGATCTTTTATGTTTCGCCCCTATGTAGAGTATCACACTAAATTGGTTGCCATGTGTTTTGCGTTCCTGTCCATATAGGGTCCAGTTTTTGGCAGTTTCTCTGTTAATGCTATAAAAAAACTTTTTATTTTTACTGGGTTGTTACACAATTTACCAAAGGCGTTTCGGCTGTTCCTTACTGCCCTTTGTAATTGGTCTTTAGTTAATCATAGCACCATAATATGAAGCTTTGAGTTGTTACTTGTACACGATACTACTAATGACATAAGGTTCAGACCAGACTCCAAGGTAGTGAGAAAATTGTGGCCTTGACATTACAAAATAGACGATGAGTAACATAGCACTACCTCGTTCTGTGATTGGTTGCCCATCCACCAATCAGGGGCATGCACCTTACCTGAGACGTCTATAAAAAGAGTAAGGTTGGTTCTACTGCATCACAATTGTCTTTAGATTGCAAGTCTAGTTACGATTTCTGAACCCCAAGTAAATGACTGGTAGGTTATTTGGTTTTCTATAAACTGAATTTAAGTCTCTTCAATATTCTCAGTTCGACATCTTCTGGGATTGGATGATGGTGATAAGGAAACGCTATTTGAGGCCTCAATTCCCTTGTTATCCAGTTTCCATGGTTCGTTTGCAGTTTTTAATTTCGCTTTCTTTCTGTTAAGAAAGTTTTTTATTGCTTAGCATAAAGCATCTAATTTACTATCCTTATTTAGATTCAGATAACTTGTTTACATAAGCAAATATATCCTTATTTGCTTTAACCAAATAAGGGAATGCTTTTTAATGATCCCTTTGTCTACTTTCCCCTTTGCTTATTTCATATGTTAGCTTCTGATCCGTCCCCTCTAAATATGCATCATGCATGTAATAATCCGCATGGCTCACTTATTAATTTTACGGTTTCGAATGACCAAAATGCATTGTATTTGGGAGAATTTTGTCCTCCATCGCTCAAATTAAACCCTATCTCATCAACGGATTTCATTCAAGGTTCTACATTGATGATAATCAGAGTGCAATAACACATTGTAAATCAACAGACCCCCTTTTCTAACCCCTAACTCCTAAACTCCTCAACACCTACCTCTCTCTCTTATCTCATCTAGGGATGCGGGTGCTGACACCTAAGACCCCAGAAGACACGAAATTTATCCAAGCTATTTCTGAGTCTATCACTTTGCGACCTCTCGGATAACATCAATGTGGGTCGGGGTCCCACTCCGACTGATTATTAGGGCCGATCAGTACCCCACGTGGACTAGATAGATAGGATCTTAAGGGTTTTGCATGTTTAGATAGCCCTCCTCCTTTCCTTATGCCACTGTTTAACAATATGTACAGAAACCAGTTTTTACAACAGCTCCATATCTTCTTCCAATTTTTGCTTAATGGCTTCAGTTTTGCTCTATAACAGGTGGGAAGAAAAATAACCCTTTGAAAATACTTCGATATTTATCCGCAAATTGCTCCACAATTACGTAGGTGCCATGACTTAAGTATCTCTACCATCACTTTAAGTGTAGGAGATATCTCAGGGTCTCAAAAACGAGGTATAAGTCCCTACCACCGACGTGGCACAGCAACCTAAGTGGGAAATATCAAACACTTTTACCTTCCCCTCAATGTAGACACACAGGGGACCGAGAACAAGGGTATCACGATGGAATTAACCACTCATGGCTCCACACCAACGAACTCGAATTCACCCGTGCCCAGTAAACAAATGCAAGTGCAGCAGAGCTCCTGGACGCAGCCTTTCCTATTCCAAGAGGATAATCAACGAAATCAGGCAAAATCCTTCCAAATGTCAAATTTTCTTCTACCAAACCTCCCCTCCCCTTCCTTGCTCCCTACCCTCTCCAGCGACTCCGGCGCCTACCCATCATCGATGAACCCTCGTGACTTGGAAATGGTGGTAGTGACAAATTTCCAGAGTCAATCCAAGCGTCGGGTTCTATTCAACAAATTTCAAATCTCTCAGTTGGAGAAACGCTTCAGAAAACAGCGCTATCTCACCGCCCAGGAACGCCAGGAACTCGCTCATACTATCGGTCTGACTCCTACGCAGGTGCATCACTAGTCGACATGTTCAATGCGCCAAGTCAGTGCCTTTTGTAAATTTGGAATAGCAATTTGTGCAATCTTTTTTTGCCTTAGGTAAAGATTTGGTTCCAAAACCATCGCTACAAGATGAAGAGATTTGTTCATGATGATCATGTCGAAGCTTCGGTTCACAAATGGCCAATTAAATCTGCCCATTTACAACCAAAGGTCTCAACGCTCTGGTGTAACAGGAGCATCAGAAGTTTAGAGGATTCGCCTAGATCAGATTGTGACCCACCGTTTCCCCAGACACTACCAATCGGACAAACGTTTCAACAACAGCAACTGCAGTATTCCACGATACAAGTACAAACTCCACCAATGTGTTTATCAATGCCACAACCTTTGGTAGAGCAAGAAACGGGAATGAAGGCTAATCCAAAGTATATCTGGCAAACTCTAATGAATCTAATACAAGGCAAGATGCCTATTAATAAAGAGGGAGAAGACAAGAGCGAAGTCATGCCAAGGCAAAATGGAGCTTTTCTACACATCTTTAATGAGGCATGCAAAAGGTAGCACCTGTGATGGTAACAGTGACACTCATTAAAAAAAAATTATCCGAAATTTTCTTTTCTTTCGTCAAGATTATATGTAGTAGATGGTTTCGCCACAATTTTTGTCCCATAGTTTATTTAAACCCGCCGTGAAGGTTTGTCCAGTGATCAAACGAGGTGATAATTCGTTTAACTGACTCAAATGTAATGTGTAGGGTAGTTGGGAGTTTTGCTTTTGTTCAAATTATTTAAGAGCTATCGAGGGACAAAGGAAGAAGTATTAAACAGTTATAACCACGTCAGAATGTTCATTGGGTAAGCAGATAAGTTTGAGGGAACAGGAACCATTGGCTTCCAGGTCGTTAATCACATCGGTGAGGGGGGACTAAACCTCTTTTTTTAACAACAACGTATTTCACGACGAAGCTTACGTTTGTTTTGCTGGTTTGAGCTTCTTCTGTTATCCGACTGATCATCCCACCCTAACTAGGTAGTCATTTTAATCGTAATAAATACGCTGCTGCGGAATGACAGCCATCTAATTCAGAACACGGAGGAGGTATGATTCTCCTCTCATGGTACTTAATGTAGGGTCTATTGCTAATGTGATTGGCCAGTCACGCACTTTAAATGCCAAGTGATTAAACACAGGATTCAAATCAACTCACTTTCTCCCCTGTCTGGTGGTGGTGGTGGGTGGTGGCGTTCATGAGTGCGAGCAGTGCCCATTTAGATCTCCAGATCGTCATTATTTTATTTTAAGTAATTTCAAAGGTTGAATTAATAATCCGATTGTTAAAAATCAAAGTAAATCCATATTTACTTTCTTAAATCCTGATTGTTTACCACTATTCACATTTGGAGCCTAGAAATTTGGAAATAAACTTTTCAAAGTACAAAACATTTGATTTGATCGGACATTTGGAGCTCTGCTGTTGAATTTAATAACCACTTAGTATTTGCATTCGTGGACCCAAATTCTTCCGCAACCTAACCCTTCACACAAAGTTCTGAAGTCGATGGTGGCGTTGGTGACAATTCCCTCAAAAAAAATCATGCTGAGCTGAAGTCATTGAGCATGTGCTTAGTGTCATCGTTGAAGTAATGTCTCCCTTCTCAACTTCCCACTGTTTAAGGACTTAATTTAATCAGCAGCTATGGTGTTTTGCAGGATCGGAGGAGAAAAGGGATGCTCCTTCCCTTTCCCCCCTTTCGTCCTCATCAGCGTGCTCTAATCAACTTTTTCAGAGAGATAGTGCCTAATTTCTCGAAATTATTTGAGTATTGCTCAAATGTTGCTACAAGCAGCGGAAAAGGTATAGGACTAAGTGAAAATTTATCAAATTTGGCTGCCTTCGGAGATGCAATCTAAGGAAGGAAGAGGAAAAAACACGTTAAGATGTTAATTTTAAGGCAGTCATAAAATTATCCATGCTAATTCCACTTAAAAGTCATGACCCCAAATTGCCGTGAAGTTCCTGAGGACACTTGAGCACTTAGGTGAGAAAAACTTCTAAGGCTACTGCAGAAGATGTAATATCTCACTCAAGCTGGGTGGTGCTATTCCAAGACCTCACCATGTTAAGGGGGAAAATCACTGAGATCTTATAGTTTGCTAATCAAATAGCTTTAAGCCGAAATTTTGGCTCCAAATTATTTTTAAGGAGCGTGCCATCTAAATATAATTTTACAATTTATTTGATCCCCTTTTACATCTTCAACTTTAAGAGTCATCGTGTTCCGGAAAGACCGAAACTGAAAAGTTGTTCATTCGGCTGTTAACCCAACAGTGACGCTGGACCTACAGTGTCTTTGGGGCCAGAATCAACCTCGTGAATTTGGTTATTGACACACCTATTACAACTGCATTCCATCCATTTGACATTAAGCTGATTTGAAGTGCACAGAACCCGACTGATGGCTCCTCCTTGAGAAGCCATTTTATATAAGTAATAGTAATTGGTGCTACTAGTTTGCAAGAGCGATTTATACATTGACCCAACTGCTTAAAGAGTACTTAAATAAATCGGAAAGAAAGTTGAATAAACTTTAAGCAGGACTACATTTGAACAGGAAAAAGTTCGCACTTGGGTCACAAGTAAGCAGATAAGCAAATGATTGACTGCTCCATGGTAAAAACAAAGCAAAAAGGGACTTGGCCGGTCAAATTCAACTACAGCCGGGGTCAATCATCAAATATGGGGATTCGGTTCACTTCCTCTCTTGCCTAACGATGTCAAAGTCATGATTACTGGGAGTGACTGTGACCGAGGCCACAAGTGACCTTGTGTGCAATCCATTAAGGCTAGGACTAAGCAACTGCATTGCAACTTTATTCAAATGCAAGCTTTCCATTTTAACCACAACTTTGCAAACCACTGCAAACTACAAAACTAGCTTGCCAATGTGGATAGGTGACGGAACGCCAAAATTTGGGCCTTAACCATTATTGCTGAAATGTACCAGTTCTCAAAAATTGTCCAACTTGGCGAATGTACAAATTCCGTTCCTGGGTGTCGTCACTCACATTCAGGCAACAAAAATATTGAAATTTAGGACTGACAAGGATAATAAGAAAAATGTATCAACCTCTAACTCTGTTATTCATCCAAAGCTGGTTTAAGACGTAGTCCTTTGCACCATCCTGAATTTTTTGGAGAGCACCTTCTTCACCCTCCACGACAGCTCATTTGCTGCCAAAAAAGGACGTCAACAATATTCGCAACCTAGACGACTACTACGTTTTATAGACAATGGGAGGAAAGAACTTCAGGAACTACTCGTTAGGTATGCAAACATATTCTCATAGCAAGGTATTAAACTGGGAATAACAAACATCCTGAAACATACGGTGGGTACTAGTAAAACGAAGTCGATCTAAAAGCTATCCAAACGCATTTTATCTTCTTTGCTAAAAGAATAAACTGTTTGGTGGAATAACTGGTCAGAGATGGGGTCACAAAGTCATCAAAGTCACCATGGGCCTTACCGATTTCTCCAAGAAAACTGGAAGATGGAAAATCAACGGCTATGCGCCGATTGCAGGAAGCTGAATGCAGTAATGGAAAAGGATACTTTCTCACTACCTCAAATAAACATTCTTTGGACTCTCTACACATGTCGAAGTGGTTCTCCACAGGGGAATTAAAACCATGACAGTGGTATGTAGAAGACAGAAAAGAAACAGAAAGAAGACCGCATTCACATGGCCAAATAAGTCGAATGAATCCCAGACAACGCCTTTCGGACTTTGCAATGCAGCGGCTACTTTCCAACGCCTTATGCGAGCCGCACAAATTGAATTGTATTCGAAACTTTACATGACCCATCTAGATGAATTTCTTGTCTTCGTTGGGGATACTCAGAAGCATACCGCTAATTAAAGATTAGCTTCTTACCGGATTTTTGCAATATTTGGTCAACTTCTTGAGGTATACTCACTCGTCAGAAGGGATGGAATTTACAATAGACCTTACAAAGCAGGTGAGGGCATGGTCAGTACCAATCATTCAATTAGACGAGACAAGGTATTTTTTAGGCTTGACCGGTTACTGTAAGCGTTTTGCCAACAGTTTTCCTTTGATTAAAAATCCGCTGCATAAGCAAGCGTGCAAGCAGGCAAAAAAAGAACTCCAAGCTGAATAAGAATAATTCTTTGCCACTATTCTATAATTACCAAACCTTGAATCAGGCACTCCACCATTCCTACTGGATACTGAAGCTAGTGATGCAGCCGTAAGCGGTGTACCAGCACAAAGGAACAAACAGGAAGGGAACAAGTTGTCGCCCACGTGTTGTTGCACCAAACTCAACAAAAAAAGAGACAGAAAGGCGCAACCCAACTCATTGTGAACTGTTTGCTATGTTCGCATTGGTTGTACTTATCAGACCTGATAACAAGGTATGATAAGTAAGAACGGATCACTAACGCTCTGGCTGACCCGACTGGAAACAATATAGGTGATAGACTGTCCAGTTGCACATTGGCAAAGGACATGCAGCAGCACGATTTCACGGTGAAGTGCCTCGTGAACCGGTTATGTTGTACCAATGGAGCTAGCAGATAAGTCGTGCCAATCATTCATACAGTCGTAGCGCCCGATTCTTCTCTGAAGTGAAAAAAAGACGCAATATTAGTGTAGAAAGGTATTGCCGACGTATTGAAGGGATGAGTTTGCGGGGTGGGACTAATGGCATAGCTTGGGGGCCATGCCGCCAGGCGAAAGTACAAAACTTAGTTAGGATAAAATCATCAGGAATGGTTTCACTTTCGTTCTCTCCCCTAGAGCTACTACTCCTTTCCGATAAGGACAATAACCGTCTGTCAGAGTTCATATCCATTCTGTGACACCTCGATTTTGCTCTACTGTTGCTGATTTGTTTGTGGTTGTAGCTGCGAATAAGGTCATGATGGTGGTGCCCAGAAATTACTTGCCGTTTCTACCTCGTTGATAGTAACGAAGCAAAAATTTGTTGTTGCGGTTGACAAAAATTTAGGCACTAATTTTGCAGATGGACGTGGCTGTCAATACGTTTGCTGTTGTCTTAGAGGTAGATGCAAGGCGAATAAGGCTTGAAATGCACCATAAAACGAAGATTTTACTAACGTA